AAGAAGAAAAAAAGTTTAAAAAAGTTCGAAAAAAAAATCATCGAATACTACGAAGAGTTATAAGGGATGATATTGTGGAAAATATGATTCATTGAATAAGCCATCAATTGATCCGGATTTTCAATTTCTGTACCGGAATTAAAAGACAAAAAAAGTCTATGAAAAATAATGAACCTCTTATGAACATTATAAAAATTGATTAATTCATTTTGATAAAAATGTTTGTCAACAATTGTTTTAGTAGACATTTTATGGCAATTAAATTTTCCGATGTATAGAATAATTAAAGCAAAAAATTGTTTTAACCAATATTTTTCAATATTTTAAGTTTTCAGGTTAAATGATTAAAAATTTCGGATGTATAATGAATGTGACATTATACGAGAAGTATGATTCCAACATTAGAATATTAGAATAGTTTGAATTTTTTTTTGAATCAGTTCAGGAATATCAATCATTGATTCCGTCCTTTTTTTTTTTTTTCTATGTTGATTATCGTGGAATACTTATTCGTAGTTGGTGACATGAATGTCATTTCTGTGAGCATTTGGGAAATTAATGAAAGGAGAAGCAAATCGAGGACATTTTTATCTGATATTCCTTTCTTTAGCATTGTATGCTAAATAAACTTATAATCTTGAAAGAAATGCAGATGATTTGTTTTTCATATGGAAAGGTCAAAGGGTACGGTTGAAATTTGTAAAGGACTTAAATAAATAAAAGTTAATGAATGAAAAATTATTGTAATAAAGTAAAATGGATGGTTATTTAGTTTTTGATTAAAGTACATTTTCAAATTAATAAAAAGTAATAAATTTTTTTTTTTTTGAAAATATACTACAACCGGTTCCGGTGGATCACAATTTATCTAATTGTCCACGGAGACTAAAATTTGGACCGTAAAATTTATTAAAAATTATATTCCTTCTTTATTATACATTGTAATGTTACGCCAAATTTATTAACAAGTTAAAAAACTTTTTGATTAAAATATATTTTCAAATTAACAAAATTTATTATTTTTCAATCTTATAGCCTATGCCAGAAATAAAATGATCAAAGTGACCATTGGTCAAGGAAAGATTAGGAATCATTAAGCTTGATGAAATGCTTTGTTACTATTTATCATGGTTAAAGAAATAATAGAAATAACTGAAAAAAATAACAGTTTGATTGTAGAATTAAACAATTAATTGAATGATATTAATTGTTATTGAAAGGGAAATTTTTCAAAAGTTAACTCAATATGGCATGAAAATCTTATCAGTTTAGATCAGTTAGCTGATTATTTATCAATTGATTTCATATCAGTTGACTGACCGCTATATTATTTTGGGTCAACTGAACTATTTCAAAAGCAGGAAGGTTGATTTAAATCGGAAAAGTGATGCAGGAAAGAATATGTACGGTATTTCTTATATATTACAAAGGGAATCCATCTTGGTGTTAGATAAAATGAAGCAATGTTGTTTGATTCAAAGTGATTATCGATTTTTATATTGATAAAAGTAACGTTATTTGATTTTAAATAATTACCGATTGTTAATTCGATTTAAAATGATTACTGATTGTTATACTGATAAAAGTAGCGTTATTTGATTTGATGTTATTACTGATTGTTATATTGATAAAAGTGACGTCATTTGTTTTGGTGTTATTACTGATTGTTATATTGATAAAAGTAACGTTATTTGATTTGATGTTATTACTGTATTGTTATA